ACCCAGGGCTTGGCAAATGAACACAAGTACCCCTCATTCTAGAACATCAGTCCCTGGGCTGGTGGGAGCAGAGCAGAGTGGAACTGGGGATGCTCTGAGCAGAGGTAGAAGGTCTCCTGGCAATCCGCATCCTGTTCCTGTCAGCAGCCATGAGTCAACCCGAGGTGCTGAGGGACTAGATGTGTTCTCTACACGCTGGGCATGGGCCATGGTCACTTGGCCACAGTCCCCTGTAGTCACGCTGTCCGAGCGCCATTCTTATAAATCAGTCCTGAGTTCTTTTCAGAAAAACAGTCTCTCTTTCATGGGATGTCACGGGCCAGCATAGCCTGGAAGGGAGGGAGATGAGGCTGTGTGTGCGTGGGATGAAGTCCTAATTTTTGGAGGAGTCAGACTGGTCCTGAAAGTGACCCTCTGTCCTTCTCTCTCCCTCTGGGGACCTGGCAAGGAATCAGCATTCTGAGATGGAGGGGTGGTGGTGGAAGGGGACTGAAAATGGCTAAGACGGAAACTTCCATCCTGAGCTATTGGATGTTCAAATCCCGCTCTGCTCTGGGACTTTAAATTTTGTTCTCAAGTCTCCATTTCGCCTGTGGAGAAGGTGAGGCTTTAAGAATAAGCACACATGGGCCCGCACCGTAGTGTTCTGACCTAAGCCTCCAGCCACTACATCCCACCATATGGGAGCCAGGTCATGTCCTGGCTGCTGCACTGCCCATCCAGCTCCCTGTCTGTGGCCAGGGAAGGCAGCAGAGCATGGCCCAAAGCCTTGGGATCCTGCAAACTCATAGGGGAGGCTTGAGAGAAAAATCTTGGCTCCTGGCTTCAGAGCTGCTCAGCTCCAGCCATCTGGGGAGTAAGCAGATGGAAGATTTCTCTCTGTTACTGCTTCTCTCCTTCTCTCTGGAACTCTATTGTTCAAATAATAAAAATAAGTCTTAAAAAAAAAAAGGAAGTGCCTGCATGGGAGAGCACAGGAGGCGGCACACGGGAACTGCAGCCAAGCCCCTCCGCAGCGGATGAGTAACATGGCCTAAGCACTTCTCTGCTCTGTCCTGCCTCAAAGGGCTAAGCTGCAGCAGCTATCCTGTCCCCAGCTCCCCCTACCAGGGGAGCCAGCTTGTTCAAGATGAGGAGGCTAGGACAGACACAGTGCCACGTCCCTGCCCCTTTGTTTGGCCCTGTGGCTGCAGCTCCCAGCTGCTTCTTGCTGCCTCCCTTCCCCCTCTCTGAGTCCTTCTCCCAGCCCCTCCCGGGCGTCTCTGCTGGCTCGGCTGACCCCGACGCTCCCTCACATTTTGCCTTGAGTTCAGTGGAGCTGGGGAAGCGGCCAGCCTGTGTGCACTAATTGCAGAAGGCACTGCAGGAGGATTGCAGGGTACAGGCCCGCCCCCAACTCCCTTCAACGTTGTTCTGGGTGTATGTGCGCCCCCGCAGCCTATTGGCTGGACAGTGCCAGTGGTGTGGGGGTGTCGGAGATTAGAAAGGGCCTCTTTCTAAAGGTTCCAGCAAGGCGGCCCTCCAGCTGCCTGGTAACAATAAGGGAAATTTACACAGCAGAATTCCTGCTCAGGAAGAATCAAAATCCACATGGGAGCCGGAAATCTCAGGACAATTTCCAGTTGGACTGGAACCAGGTTCCCTCCTCTGCAGGCCCTGGGTGGTGGTGGTGGTAGGAGTGAGGAGGGGGACAGAGCAATGAGGGAATGTGGAAGGGCCTTGAAAACCAGCTCTCTGGACTGGAGTGGCCTTTTGGCCCTCCAAGGCGATGCCGCCAGTCTGGACGCCTGCACCCATATCGATGTGCCTGGGTTCCCAATTCCAGCTTTTTGCTCATGCACACCCTGGGAGGCAGTGGTGAAGGCACAAACGCTTGGATCTCTGCCATCCATGTGGGAGGCCATGATTGTGTTCCCAAGTGCCTGGCTTCAGTCCAGCCCAGTCCGAACCGTTCTCGGCATTTGAGGGAGTGAACCAAGAGATGGAAGCTACCCCCATGCCTGTCTCTTTGCATTTCAAGTAAAGTTGATGAGACTATCATGGGCCTAATGGAGGGAAAAGTCTGAAGTCAATACTACACTACGGTTTAAAGGAAGGAGAAATATCTGTATGTAGTATCATGAGAAAAAAAAAAATCCAGACCTTTTTTTCTTTGAAGCTAATGGATTAAAAGCAACAGAATAAATCCCTATGTTTCATTTTATTGAATTGGCTTTATTTTATAATTTTATAATCAGGAAACACTTCATGTTATATATATGTAACATACACATATATGTGATATGTATATATGTATCACATACATATATGTGATATATATATGGCGTGTTTCTTGATTGGTTTGAAAGGTAAAGTGATAGAGGAGAAACAGAGATCTTCCATCTGCTAGTCTACTCCCCAAACGGCCACAGCAGCCACATTATACATTGCAAAGCCAGGAGCCCAGAGCACCATCCAAGGTCTCTCAGGTGGTTGCAGTGACCTAAGCCCGTAGGCCATCCTCCATTGATTTCCCAGGCACATCAGCAGGGAGCTGGATCGGAAGTGGAGCAGCTGTGCCTGGAGCTGGTGCTCTGAAATGGGGTGTTTATGCGGCTGTGCCACAACACTGGGCCCTGAGTTTCCTTTCTTTTTCTTTGTAAAGATTTATTTATTTTTATTGGAAAGGCAGATTTACAGAGAGAAAATGAAGCAGAAAGATCTTCAGTCTGCTGATTAATTCCCCTCCCAAAAGGCTGTAACAGTCAGAGCTAAGCTGATCCGAAGCCAGGAGCCAAGAAAGTCTTCTGGATCTCTCATGTGGGTGCAGGGTGCCAAAGGCTTGAGCCATCCTCTACTGCTTTCCCAGGCCACAAGCAGGGAGCTGGATGGGAACTGCCGGAACATGGGCCAGCACCCACATGGGATCCTGGCGTTTGCGAGGAGAGGATGAGCTAATTGAGCCATTGTGTTGCGCTTCCTGAATTTTTATTTTTAAATCCAAAACAGATGGGATATGAGACAAGATTGGGGATATAAAGTTTTATATGTTAATTATTTTGTAAATATATATAAGCACATTCGTTTAGCAAAAAGAAGTGAACTTAGAAGGGAAATGTATGGGGCTGCAAGGGTGGTAAACAGAAGGCCACAAAGGTGCCCAGTATGAATCAGTCCCAAGAACCCCAAAGTAGACCTTGTAAGCAGGGTGCCCTCGGGGGTCAATAAAAAAATATATCAGGGCACAATGGCTCAATGACTCAATGGCTAAGTCTTCTTCTTGTAAGCATCAGGATGGGTGCCAGTCCCTGTCCCGGCAGCTCCACTTCCACCCAGCTCCCTGCTTGTGGCCTGGGAAAGCAGTCAAGGACAGCCCAAAGCCTGGGACCCTGCACCTGTGTGGGAAACCCAGCGGCTCCTGGCTCCTGACTTCAGTTGTCTCACCTCTGGCCATTGCAGCCTTTTGGGAAGTGAACCAGCAGATGGAAAATCTGTCTTTCCTTCTCTTTGTAAATCAGACATGCCTTTCCAATAAAAATAAATAAATTAAAAATAAAGAATGCTTACTCAGCTGGCATGACCAGTGCAAAGAGGAAAGTCAAGAGAAGAGAAAATTTCCAGTTTTCTTAACTGGAGGGTTTGGACTACCAAATTCGGGGGTGACTACTAATAAGTTCTTTGGAGCTCATCCTGACCCGGACTTCACCCCAACCCTGGGCTAACAGCATTTCCAAGCCAATCACCTGCGTTTTCCCCTCCGACTACAAAGCCAGTCTCCATGTGCAAACCATCAATTCCAGAGACCTCATGTGGCTTTCCCAAGGCCACACAGCAGGACACAAGCATCTGCCTTCAAGTGACTAACAAATGTCTGCTTTTCAATCCACCCTCCTATCCTGCCCCACATGCAACCCAGCACTGGCTGTCGTCAGATGCCCACTTCAGTCCTAACCCACAGGGGGCTGTGGGCTTTGGTCACAACAGCCGCTCCTTGCCACTGCCTCCCTCTTTATTCCCCAGCAGTCTCCCTCTAGCTTCCTTCCAGAAAAGGACAATCATGGATAGGACAGGAGGGGCACCAAGGCTGCTGCGTTTGGCCCTGTACACCGCAAAGGTGATCCTCCGCAGGAGACCCTGGGCCAGCGGTGCTGAGGGACACCAGGGTGTCCGTGGCCACGTCTCAAGAGCCAGAAAGGAAGATTTTTTAAAGAGATCCTGAAAGACCTTTTGTGGTGAGCAGGCATCCACGCACGGGGACAGCAGCAGCAGCAGAGCCAGGGGTCAGGGTCTGGGAGTCATTATCGAAGTTTAGTGCAGACAGCTGTGTGTCTGGGAGTTTGAACATCATGGCCAAGTCAGCTCCTGGGGCTCCTCGGCTGCTTCAGGCTGATGAAGTCCTGTCCCAGGGCCCAGCGGCCACTACCATATTGAGGTTGGGGAGAATCTAGGACCCAGCAAACGCTTCGGAGCGGGGACCCCCCCCCTTGGGTTTCCCCTCTCCCCTGGTCCTGGTTCGGCCAGGCCAGTTCCCGAGGCCGGCAGAGGGGTTCCCATCAGTGGAGGGGGCGCTGCAGGGCCTCTTCCCCCACTGCCCAGCCGGCCCCAGCCCCCTGAGGGGTCCCGGCACCTCCCAGACCACCCCCTCAACCTTCCCCAGGCCCAGCAGATTAGCTCATCTCCTCTGCTTGTCCCGAAAGAGGGCGGGCGACTGGGACCCGGGAGCCCACAGCAGAAAACCCCGGCGGGTCCTGAGCGCCTCGCGGCCGAGCCTGAGGACAGGATCTCGAGTGTGGGGAGACGAGGGGAGCTGTCCAGCCCCGCGGGGTGAGCTGGAAGGAGCGTGGGCCAAGGCCGGCGGGTGCGGCAGCGGCTCCCCCTCCAGCCCGCCCCCCACGTGGCCGCAGCCGTCCCAGCCCCTCCGAGGAAGCGGCGCGGCTTCCTGCGGCTCGGGCCGGGGATATAGGCGCCCCCGCCCGGGCCCGGCTCAGCGCCGCCGCCCCTCCTCGCCCCGTCGCTGCGCGATGGCCTCGCTCCGGCCGGAGCGCGCCGCTGGCGGTCCTCGGCTGCCGATGGCCCGCGCCGGGGGGCCGGTCGCGCTCCGCCTCCTCCTGCTTCTGCTGGGCGGTGAGCACGGAGCCCCGGGGCCCCGCGGAAGGGAGGCGCGGGAAGGGAATGGGGTGGACGGCTGGGGCCAGCACCGGCTGCAGGGCGCGGGAGCGGACTCGTTCGGCGCGCAGCGCATCCTGCGAGCGGGTTCGCCGGGCCCACCTCGGGGCGGCCGCAGCGTGGACTGCTTCCCACTTCGGTGCGGGGCCGGGGCTCAGCGGGTTGAGTCTTGGAGGTCCAAGCTTGGCAAAGGGGGTGTGTGTGTGTGTGTGTGTGTGTGTGTGTGTGTGTGTGTGTGTGTGTGTGTGTGTGTGTGTGTGTGTGTGTGTGTGTGTGTGTGTGTGTGTGTGTGTGTGTGTGTGTGTGTGTGTGTGTGTGTGTGTGTGTGTGTGTGTGTGTGTGTGTGTGTGTGTGTGTGTGTGTGTGTGTGTGTGTGTGTGTGTGTGTGTGTGTGTGTGTACGCGCGTGCGCGCGCCTGAGCCTGAGAGTGAAGGAGCTAGTGCTTGCCACTTTCTTTCCAGGATCGAGCTCTCCCGTGTGGGTGCGTGTGGAATTTTGGGGCTGGGGGGGGTGGGGAACAGAGCACTGCTCCTTTTCTTCCGCCGGCGCCTTGATTTGTAAGGGTCTCAGCTTACATGCCCCCTCGACTGCAGGCTCCGTTGCCCACATCACTGCCACTGCCTCCTCCACTCCCAAGTCTCCCACAGCTCTCCTGAAGCCCCAGGAGTCGCTGGCCCAGTCTCTTCCCACCCCGGACAGCTTGGAGTTTGAAGGTGGGTGCCCAGGGGCTGTGGATGGGAGGCCTAGGGTCAGGAGGAGAGCCAGGACAGTTTGATGGGGAGTGACCGAATCCTTTCCCAATGGCTGCCTCACTCCCATTGTTGCCCCACCAAGCTGCCTTTGTTTGGTGTCCTGGTGGCCTAGTATGGAGCAGGATTGGACCCAGATGGGTGCCTGTGCAGGGTGCCAGGCTGGGATGGCCAGAGCTGTCCACACCAGAGGCATCAAGAATTGCTCAGCTGTACTCGCTGCTGGGTGAACTCGTAGTGGGGCTCCCAAGTTTGAAGACCAGGGTCTGGGCTTCCCCTTGGGCAGTAGCTGGTCTGGAGGGTGTGGGAGAGAAGGTGGGATATGCTCACCACACAGCCTATGTCCCCACAGGGAACACAGTGGAGGTGAACTATGAATCAATGGTGGTATACTGTTGGAACTCGTACAAGAACCAAATGGACACTATTGAAAAAGATTGGTGCAACTGGGCTGTAATCAGCAGGTAGGGGCCAGGAGTCGGACCTGCTGCTGGTGGGCAGGCTGCTGAGCCAGTGAAGGGGCTCCACTGTCCCTCACTCAAGTCCTCCATTACTACCCCCAGACCATACAGTGATCTGCAAGAATGCTTGGAACACAGCGCAGAGATCTTCAGCCTGGGCTTTCCCAACCCCTTGGCGGAGAGGGTCATCATGGATACGCATCAGATCCACTTTGCCAACTGCTCGCTGGTGCAGCCCACCTTCTCTGACCCTCCTGAGGATGTGCTATTGGCCATGATCATTGCCCCCATCTGCCTCATCCCCTTCCTGGTCACGCTGGTGGTGTGGAGGAGTAAGGACAGCGAGGCCCAGGCCTAGGGTGATACAGTCCCAGGACGACACAGGCCCAGGGCGACACAGGCTTCTCAACAGCCGGCTGACCCTCCTCCCTGGCCCACAGTAATCCTCTCTCTCCCCTCCCTGCTCCCTTTTCTCACTCCTGACCCTATCCACGGCAATGGAAGTGGAAGGTGGGTCTGGGTTCTGAAATCTTCTAAATAAAGACATTTTTTGGGTACAATGGCCCCCTTCCCTTCCTAGTGCAGTCTGCATCCCTCCCAAAACCTCTGCCCTTCCCACAATGGACAGCAGAGTGGGAAGACTCGGGTTCGGTTTGGAACTTCATCCACCGCCTCTCCCCCTCCCTCCCTTGCTGCTCCCCCCACGATGAAAGCCATGCCCCATGTACCTTTCTCCCAGGGCAGGGCCTTTCCTGCGCCTCTCCAAACACAGCTCCAGGAAACAAGCAGGAAAAGACTCCCTTCCGGTCTGGACAGCAGCTAGGGGCAATGCAGGAGGAGGGGCAAGGGACAAATTTACTGTGACTTCCATAACGAGGGGACAGCCCTCGCTCTTCCTCTTCTTCCTGCCTCAGTTTACTCTGAGGTCCGGGGAAAAGGATCCCTGAACTAAACCCCAAGAATCTACCCTCTCTCCTGGGCCTCAAGACCTCAGAGTTGAGGGGAGGAGTGGCATGGGGCTTCCTTTGCTAGGCTCACCCCTCCCCTCTCGGACTAGGGCCTCCATCCTACATTGTCCTGGATGGGGTGTGGCCCACATCATGACCACACACTGCCCCCTGGTGTTCAAGCCAAGACTTGTATGAAACCTGAGAGCCTAAAGCTAGGGAGCTTTGGTCCTGGCGGTCAGGGAAGTGTTATCTCCATAGCAACCACTAGTTCTTCCTGAGACATACCAATGCTCCTTTAAGATAACATCCCACTTTCTAGGGGATGTATCTAACCCCTCTCTACAACTCACTGTGCAAGGGGAGCATGTACTGTTCCTGGATGGGGAGGCCCTGTTCATGAAATAACCTTCACCTCCAACCCTCTCTGGGACACACCTGCCAGGCCACCAACAGCATCTGTGAAACAACTTGATTTTCCATGGAGACCCCTATTACTATTACGACTGTTATTCATTCCCTGTCTCACTGGGGGCTTTCCTCCTTGCTGAGCTGTGTCCTTGCACTGTTGCAGTGTACAGGAGAGATCACGCCAGGCAAGGGGTCTTTATTCACTAAGCTTGCTCATGGCAGTGCTCATTAGGAATTAGCAAATGACAAGTGCATGTTGCAAGTCAGTATGAATCAAGCTCCTGAGAGCAAAAAACGATCATTACTGTGAAACTCGTCCGTTAAACTGAAGACGTATGACCTAGCTTCTCCAGCAATACAAGTTAACCCCAAGAGACATGCAGCGAATAATCTCTACACAATTAAAAAGCTGAAAGCATTCACCTTTTCCTGGCTTCTTTGCCCACATTCCATTACTGCTAGGCCTCACCTCTCCTAGAACTCTTTTTTTTTTTTTTAAATGTGATTTATTGAAGACAGAAACTATGTGTCATAGGAATCAGGAGGGGGATCCAAGAGGGAAAGACCTGAGAAAATTGTGGAAGTGGTGTCTTTTTTTTTTAAAGATTTATTTTTATTATTTTTTATTGGAAAGGCGGATATACAGAGAGGAGATACAGGGAGGAAGATCTTCCATCCGATGATTCACACCCCAAGTGAGCGCAACAGCCGATACTATGCCGATCTGAAGCCAGGAGCCTCTTCCGGGTCTCCCACGCGGGTGCAGGGTCCCAAAGCTTTGGCCGTCCTCGACTGCTTTCCCGGGCCACAGGCAGGGAGCTGGAAGGGAAGCAGGGCTGCCGGGATTAGAACCGGCGCCCATATGGGATCCCGGGGGTGCAAGGCGAGGACTTAACCACTTGCGCCACCGCGCCGGGCCCCCTAGAACTCTTGAAAGTGCCTGGATTAGAAATACAAAGCATCTTAGCATTAACGTCTTTACTGTCCCACTCAAGCAGTGAGCAGAGGGTGAGGAATACAGATGCACAGGGGCCATGCTCAGGCACTGTCTGTCCTCAGTCTGTCCACAGGATGCCAGAATGCAAACAGATTCTGGGGAGGCCAAGAGTTGGAGTGCCAGAGTGAAAGAAGCACACAATCAAGAGAGCAAGCCCTTAGACCCAGCGCGGTGGCCTAGTGGCTAATGTCCTCGCCTTGGATGTGCAGGGATCCCATATGGGTGCTGGTTCTAATCCCAGCAGCCCTGCTTCCCATCCAGCTCCCTGCTTGTGGCCTGGGAAGGCAGTTGAAGACAGCCCAAAACTTTGGAACCCTGCACCCATATGGGAGCCCCGGAGATCTGGGCTCCTGGCTTTGGATCAGCGCAGCACCCACTGTTGTGGTCATTTGGGGAGTGAATCATTGGACGTAATCTTCCTCTCTGTCTCTCTTCCTCTCTGTATATCTGACTTTGCTATAAAAATAAAATAAATTTTTAAGAAAAAGAGACAGAGACAGCCCCTCCCTACCATGGGCCTTTATGGGGGCTTGTGAGGGAGTGGTTACACAACAATGCAATATCACCCCATCTCAGGTTCCAGGTGAATGTCACAGGTGGGCAGAAGGGGCCTGGCACTGTAGCCTAGTGGCTAAAGTCCTCGCCTTGAAAGCACCAGGATCCCGTATGGATGCTGGTTTGTGTCCCAATGGCCTCACTTCCCATCCAGCTCCCCGCTTTGTGGCCTGGGGAAACAGTCAAGAACTGCCCAAAGCCTTGGGACCCTACCCCTGCATAGGAGATCCTGAAGAAGTTCTTGCTTTCTGGGTTTGGACTGACTCAACTCCAGCCATTGTGGCTACTTGGGGAGTGGAAGATCCTTCCTCTTTACTCGGTGGATGGAAGATCTTTCTCTTTTTCCATTTCTCTGTATATCTGACTTTCCAATAAAGATAAATAAATAAATCTTAATAAAAAGGACCAGGTAGATGGGGGAGGTGTGGCTTCCAAGCTTGTGACCCTGAATTAACTGCCTAAAACCACAATAGCACGCACTTGCAGTCTCATTCCTGAGGCATGGCTGCCCACTTCATGAGGGCCTGCTCAACACTTACTTCACACCAGACACATCTGTTTCTAGGACTGCTAAGGATATTTCCAGTTTTCACGGAAAGAGATGTTGCTGTATTCTGGGAACACAGCCGTCCTCTTCTTCAACACATTTAGTTATCAATTTACTTGATATTCAGAGTGACAGGAAAAGATTGTTTATTCACTGGTGCATTCCTCACACGCCTATAGCAGCCAAGGCTGGGCTGGGTCGAAGTCAGGATCCAGGAACTCCATGCAGATTTCCCGGGTGGGTGGCAGGGGCCAACTTCCGCTGCCTCCTAAGGTGCATATTAGCAGGAACCAGGCTTGGAAACGGAGTGCTAGCCTGGGGTGCGTGAATCCCCCACGTTTGTCTTCACACACACCACTAACACGCATCACGTGGCTGGTTGTATAACAAATCGTGCATGGTGTGTTGTCCTGTAAAGATGGAGGAAACAGAATCTAGTTTTCTTCTCCATGTTTCATCCAGTGAAGAAATGGATGGACTGGTGTTGTGGTGCAGTGGGTGAAGCCACTGTCTGTGCTCTGCTTCCGATCCAGCTCCCTGCTGATGTACATGGAAGGCAGTGGAGGATGGCCCAAGTGCTTGGAGCCCTGTCACCCACATGTGAAACACAGAGGAACTCCAAGGCTCAGCCCCCACTAGAAAATCTCTGTTACTCTGCCTTACAAATAAATAAGAGTTGTTATCCTAAGATTTTGGTTTATTTATTTAAGTCAGTTTTACATAGAGAAGGAGAGACAGAGGGGAAGATGTTCTATCCGTTGATTCACTCACCAAGCAGCCACAGTGGCCGGACCTGTGCCAGTTCAAAGCCAGGAGCCAGGAACTTCTTCTGGGTCTCCCAGGTGGGTACAGGGTCCCAAGGCTTAGGGCTGTCTTCAACTGCTTTCCCGGGCCACAAGCAGAGGAGCTGGATGGGAAGCGGGACTGATAGGATTAGAACCAGTGCCCATATGGAATCCTGGTAGGTGCAAGGCAAGAACTTTAGGCACTAGACTTAACATGGGGGATTCCGGGTTTCCTGGCCTGAAACCATGGTTTTGAGAAAGTATTATCAATGGAAAGGTTCATTCATTCATTCAACAAATATCTGTTGGTTGCTCTGAGGAGCAGGAATTGTGGAGCGAAAGGCTAAAGGTCAGACAGGAAATTAAGGTGGCGGTGTCAAAGGCTGGACAGGTTTTCACATAAGGAAGATCCTGATCACCCCTGTGTCCTTGGGGGGCAGAGTCTGGGGAAAAGAAGAGAGGAAACGGGACAAAGTTCTTGGAGAAGTTGGGAAGCAGCAGCAAGATACACCAGAAGCCATCACTGGAGCCAACTGCAGACACTGCTCCCCAGCTGGAGCATCCGAACTGGTCCAAATCCAGCCTAGTGCTCATGCAGACACTGGCAGGGAACAGGCCAGCTTCAGAGAGGAACGGAAATGGAACTGAGCAGTCTAGGCAGGGGGAAAGGAGTCACCTAAAACCAACAGGGGTCCTGGGGAGTAGGAAGGCACAGGCATGGGAGAAGGGAGAGATGGTTGGAATGTTAATATCAGAAGAAGTCCAGTTGAGCAGAAACACCCGTCGGCTGAGGCAGGAGACCAAGGTTGGCTTTGGTGAGCTCACTGTTCTCGGGCTGAACCAGAGGACTGCTTTAAAAAAACAAAAAAAATTGGCTTATTTTTTATAGCAAAGTCAGATATACAGAGAGGAGGAGAGACAGAGAGGAAGATGTTCCGTCCGATGATTCACTCCCCAAGTGACCACAATGGCCGGTACTGCGCCGATCCAAAGCCAGGAGCCAGGATCCTCCAGGTCTCCCACATGCGGGTCGTCCTCAACTGCTTTCCCAGGCCACAAGCAGGGAGCTCGATAGGAAGCAGGGCCGCCGGGATTAGAAGCGGCGCCCATAGGGGATCCGGGCATGTTCAAGGCGAGGAGTTTAGCCGCTAGGCCACCGCGCCTGGATCCCATACTGGCACCTCAAAACTCGTTTTGTTCTAAAAGGACAAGGCTTTGCTGGGGTAGAGGTCTGGCTGACGACACGGGCCTTTAGGGCGACATCCGGAACCATTCTGCTGTGCTTTCTGCCCGGACAGATCCAAGTGGAAAC